ATATAATTTGGGAAATAGATATACTTTAGGTGAATGCTAAATAATAGAGCTATATAATATTAGATAATTAATTTAGATCTTATAGCAGAAAATTATTAATGAGATAATAAAACATACTTTCACAAAAGGATGGTTAACCAAAAATGAGGCCGAAATTAGTTAATATATATTCCATCTTTATTAATAAAATATAAACATTCATTTCTTTGTGGCATGCTATAATCATCTTTTTTTGCAAGGTTATTTGCAAAAATTTGGAAATTTCAATTTTTAATAATATAATAAAAATAAAAAACACATAAACAACTTAAAACATGGCAAATGTAAAAATTTAAAAAAAACATAAGAAGATGGTTAAAAAAAGCAAATGAGGCCTTCATTGAGATACTAGTACTTAAATGGTGGCCTCGGAACACGACAATTTCAGTTGATTATAACATTTTAAAAGAGGATCCATGATTACCCTTAATTTGAGAATTTTTTTAACCTAAAATTTTAGAAAAATGATAGCTTTAAGGACCACCCATTGGTGAAAATAATTATTAAGATAACTTGAAAATCTCAAGGGTCGTAATATTAAACGAGGTAAAATAAATTTTAAAAATGACAAACGGAACACTACCAATGAATTTATAGGGTTATCACCCAGACATTCTTTTAAACCGTTTTTCCCCCGGTGATCCAATATCGAAACAGCTTCATTTTTTGGACCTAAAAACATTTTCTATTTAATATTTTCTAATTTTTATTGCCCTTATTGACTGATCCTTTTTACATATATTAGCCAGAGGTCTGCTAAGCCCGGTCCTGTGGGAATTTAGTTACTACCCGGCTCGGCCCAGTTTCAATTTTTTTCATTAAGGTTGCCTTGCCCTGTTTTTAATTATTTTTTTAAATACATGGTCTAAACTAAAATTTATGTTGAACACCAAAATAAACAACTATTTTAAATCATTGAGAGTTGGTTGAATTAAAAACACTATACTTTTTGGATGATCACGGATATGATATATCAGAATTCATCAAATATATATACCAAAAATTTTTTTTGCCTGGCCCGACCCAAAAAAATTCTTTCAGACGTTACCCAGGCCAGGCATTGCTAATATTTTATATTAGCGATATTATTTATTTTTTATAAAAATTCTCAGGTCCATTTGTTTTAAAAGAGGCTCAGGTAAATATTTTAACTATATAATTTACTAAAATATTTACTAGGGATGTAACTATATTATTTATCGGATCGGGCCGATATTTCATCCTTTTTAAAATATCGGTTATTGGCCAATATTATAAAAATTTCTGATCCGATCCTATGAGATTGCGTCTTCATTTGTAAAAAATTTATTTTAAATTTCAATAACTTCTTATGTAAATAGATTAATTTTATTATATAAATAAGTGATTTATTATTAAAAATATTTATAGACTTTTAGATTCATGAATATAAACTATAACTGATCATTATAATATATTTAAATGATTTTTGTTATAGTATAGTTAAATTATAGATTATACTAATAAGTATATTAGATGAATAAATGTACGTATACATTAAAAATTAAAACGATTAGTCTGTTTACAGAATACAAAATCAGATATGATACCGGAATTTAGGCCGATATCAATTTAATATCAGATAGGATTGGCTTCCAAAAAGTGATATCGGTACAACCCTAATATTTACAAATTTAATTTTATAAAATACTTTTTAGACCTATTATAGCAGTTTTTATTTTCATATTCTTATCTTATATTAAATAACTAATTTTATTTTTTACGTTTCTATATTGTAACATTGGGAACTCAAACCTTATTTACTATTTTTAAAAGTTGAAACCACGTAAATTATTAAAGCTATATGATAATATATGTGTGGCTCATTTATTTAGCCACTTCAATATTAAAGGATCGTGATAATATTCAAAAATAAAGATTATCAAACAACATCAATTTACTTTGAGCCATCTGGTGTTAGAAATCATAGTGTAGGTGAAGGCTTTGTAATAGATAATATTGGTGCTAGATAATTAAAATCTCGGGCAACCATTAAGCATGAATCACATAAAGAAATAAATTTATATTTAAATAGATGATATCATTTAAAACAAAAAAAATTAAACGATTACATATAAACTGTAATCGTGATTTAATTCCACAATATTCCCAATTCTCTTTTTTTCGGGATCATACAAATCTATCTTATCCTGTGAGATATTTTGAATTTTATTTTAATATAAACTTTGAATTGTTTTATTTCTTGAAATACGGAAAGAACACTTCACAGAAGGGATGTGAACCCATACTATTAACTCTAACTCTGGTATTTTGGCTGAACTTAACGCAATCTTTTTAAAAGTGGAGGATTCCAGGTGTCAAAAAAATTTTTCTTATATATTAAAAAAAAATTATAATTTAATTTTTTATCTAGGAACCATTTTTTTTCTCCTCCCATTTTTCAAAATTTTCTGGATACTTCCATATAGGTGTTATCTTGTTTTAATTTATATTAATTTTAGAAAGTGAAATATTGTGAATGTTGTATTGTAGGTATTAATACCTTATTGTTATGATTTAGACTTTGCGATTAAATATAACATTAAAAATATAAATTATTTTAAAATTTTTTTACTTGTAAATTATGTATTTGTATATTTATATGGAGTATAGAAGAAAAATTGCGTTATTTTGAGTCAATATTTCTTTATTTTCCAAACCCGGACTCTCAACCCAAACCCTTTTTTAAAAAATTTATTCCTGAATTCAGACCCGGCTTTTTTTATCAAAGGGTTCTCATGAATGCTTCAGGGGAAGGGATGTAGCTAAAATTTTCAAATTCATTTCAGAGAATAAGATATAATGGAATTCATTGTAGTATTGTATCTTAAAACCAAATCGATGTGCATTATGTACAATAATACACGAAAGGCTTGCAAAAAATGTTGTGTTAATCTAATCTAAGTAAAACTTGTTTTTAATAGAGATTTGACGTTGATAGTTAAAATTATGTAATTTACATTTTAGGCATATATTATTTTAATATTAATTGGAATTTATTTTAAATATAAAAATTTTTTTAAACCTTTTCTAACATGCTTATCTCCAGGTGCTACAATAAATGAACAATTTTCTAGGGAACTATATAAAAAGAAGGACTTTTCTTATTTACAACAATTGATAAAAATCATTAAAAAAATATTAGTTGGGCTTTTTAAGTGGTTGGACTCGTAATAATCTATAAAATATTCCAAGTAAAAAATGTCTTCATTTTAATGCCTTATCAAAATATATTAAGAATATGTTCTCTTTTCCATTAAAAAGGATCTGGTAACCTTACCAGTAAATGAATATCGTACAAGGCGAATTAACCTTTTGAAATAGAATCCAGCAAACTAATGGCGCACCACATCCCACACTTCAATTTTCCCTTAGTCATAATTTTGACAAATAAATATATCTAAAATAGAATTAAACCAATATTAATTTAAAGGAATAAGAATTGAAAGTATGCATTATATCTAAAGTTGAAACAATCATAAACATGAGGTAAAACAAATTTTACAAGTCTAATAAATATCCCAAAACAATGACAAATAGAACAATGCCAAAAACTGTGTAACCTCCCAAAACAATCAATTCAAATCTATTAAACTGATAGATAGCACATAGAGGTCTGCATTGGGCGGTGTTTCGGCCCGCCCTGGGCGGGTGGATGTGCGGGTAAAAAATTTTTCGAGAATGGGCAGGCGGGCGGGTTAAAAAAATTTTGAAACTATAGGCGGGTGGGTGGGCGGGTTAAGATTTAAACAATGTGCGGGAGGGTTAAGGAAATTTAAAATTTTTGCTCAAAAACAAACTAAAAAAAATCATAATTAATTAAATGATCAATAATATTTCTTTTTTTATAGTACCAATGGAGATTTTTAAGTGAAGAACACTTTACTAGTTTTCTACTTCTTTATCTAATTGTTCCCATCATATATAATGTCTCGTAATGGATTTCATTGATGTAATACCCGGATGTCCCATATGCAATATATGTAAAACTCTTTTTTGAAGTGAGTACGGAATGATTAATTTGCCATTCCAAAATAAATACCGTCATCATTTTCTATTTCTTCTTGTTCTAAAAGCTAATTTCGGTGCTTGATTTTGTATATTTGTACCATTTATTAATCTTTTTGTTGGCTTTCGTTCCCTCGTTGGATATCTTGAATTCCTTCTTGACTTGGTTCGATTGTTTCTATTGTTTTATCATCTCCTAGCTTTATATTGTCATTTGTTTATATTGATTCGGTTTCAACTGGTTCTTCCATTGTTCATAGTTGGTCGGCATGTTTTCCTACCATTTTTTCTTTTTCTTCTTCCTTTTTTCAGGGTTGTGATGGCGGATTCCCCTGGTATACGGCAACACTTGGTATATTGATCAAATAAATTGTCCATAATTTAAATTGATTATTTTTTTATTAATTTTTTTCCCTAAATTATAAACTTTTTGTAGAAATGTAATGCTGAAATATTTATATTAAATGCTTAAAAAATTAAAAGAATGAACATAATTAAATTTTATAAACGGGCTTGGGTTAAAATTTTATAAATAATGGGCAGGCTTGTAAAAAATTTTACACTAATGGGCGGGCAGGTTGGCGGGTAAGGAATTTTAGACAAATGGTCGGGTCGGGCGGGTATATATTTTTTGAAAACTATGGGCGGGCTGGGCGAGCGGGTTAAATTTTTTTAAAACACTGGGTGGGCGGGCTTTTGGTCTAAAAACCCGCCCAATGCAGACCCTTATAGCACATCACGTATTTATATTAGTCATAATTTTGAAATATTTATTGATTACTCTCAAAAATATAATCACACACCATGTTACATATTACTATGTTCCCCAGGCTATTCGATTCGAGAGTCTAGTATCGTTCTCCATATAGGACTTCGATTGCAATTCTAAACCTATTTTTGCTTATTAATTAATTTCATATTTTTATTTCGAAAAGATGGCACCTTGGCAAACGTACCACGTCGAGATGACGAAAGAAGAACTGTTTCTTTATCGGGTTGATTTTGTTCCCTATGATGCACGTGATACACCCATTAGCGATGAGCAGTTCACAGTCGCAGCCACGAATCCTTCGCAGGATTCCCATGACGCCCTGGATCAATCAATCATAGCCCTCTACCCACCACCATTTTTGGTATTGGATGAACACCTTTACCGTTCCAACATAAAATTCAACCAGCTGTTCCAGGTCGTGCCCAACAAAATAGCCGCCTTTTTATACGATCGACCCATCGTCAATACTTTTGCCCTGCTGAACCAAAAAAAAAGTTTTTACTATTTTTTGAAAGTTAATTATCTAGCTGAAATACATATGATTTGATCAGATCAAAGGGGCTCACAAAAATCAATGGTATTGATATGATGTGTCTAAGACCGCTTTATTGATTTTTTTTTACTTGTATCCCGAAATGATATTTTAAAAAATCTCGTTTTTATTGTATATCGGTACAGCAAATGCTAGTGTTTTTATCTGGATGAAGAATTAGATGATAGAATTTTATTAAGAAAGGAGGCATAAATGTTAGTTTGCTTACATGTAAACTCTATCAAAGATTAGCTTAGATAGTAATATATTTATCAATAATATTACGCTGTTTATTTCTACAAAAACTACATATATTTACTAATATTACAATATTTATTTTATGCCAAAAAAACTAAATATATTTACTAATGATATTTATTCGCGAACGCTGTTATAATATTATGATATTGTTTAAATTGCGAATTATAAATACTCATTATCAAATTGAAATCACTAAATTTCACCACTGCTTCACACCCGTTAATAGAATCCAAATCATCCTTTCCCAACATTTCATAGAAATTTTGGGACGTAATGATATTTGTGAAGTAGGGGTGAAATTTAGTGATTTCATTTTATTAATAAATAATCATTATCAAAATAAAGCCATTATATCACTTCTACTAAACAGATCTCCCGCTAATAATACTCCAAATCATCCTCTCCCAACACGAACTCTAATTCAGAGTTTGGGATCCTATACTACAGCCAATCCCCGATCTCCTCCGTCATATGCATGGCCACCAACTTTGCTTCAATATCGTCACCCTCAACGTTTCTATGTATGACGTCCCTTCCCTACCCGATAGGCATTGGGAGCTTCCCATGTGCTGTCTTTCGCCGATTACATCTCAATTGCTATCACGATCGAGGTAACAAAGGAGAGGGAAGCGGCCCAACACCCTTAGGGTAGGGAAGGGGCGCAATATATACAATCGTTGAGGATGGCGATACTGAAGCAACATTGTTGGCCACGATGGCGGAGAGGATAGGGGATTGGTTATAGTATATGATCACAAACTCTGAATTAGAGTTAGTGTTGGGAGAGGATGATATACAGTTTTATTAGCGGGGGAGCTGTGTAGTAGGAGATATAATGTCTTCATTTTGATAATGATTATTATTAAAATGAAATCACTAAATTTCACCCCCACTTCACAAATATTATTACAGCACAAAATTTCTAATATGATTTTTTGCTTTTATATCCATTGAGCTTTGATTATGTTATTTCTTTCGCTTTTTATACCCTTACCATTATCCCTGACCATAATATATTGCCACTACTCATGTTTCACAGAATATTCTCACGTACGTTATTTCCCCACATTATTTACCACTTTCGTCAGCAACATTTTATATCATACAACTCAATAAAACAGTTTTACAAGGCGCCTAAAAGTTCCTTTACAGATAAAAGATGATGCCATTTTACGTTTTCACCCGCATTTTCGTTTTGCTACCAGCAACTAATCATTTTCATCTGCGATATCAACCTTTCTTTCTTTTAAACTAAATACAGAATTGCAATTTTGTCAATTTTATATTAAGCATTTGCCACGCCAAAATCTTGCTTTCTTCACATAGCTGTAGGTACACATCATAAACATCCTTTTGCTTCCATGTTTATTTTCTATTTCAAAATTTTATTTTATTTTTTACAAGACATTTGATCCTTGGCATACAACAATGAACTTGACCCTTCACTTACTTTTATTCTGGCCGTCACTTATATCTATCACAATTATTAGTGAACCCAATATTGACCCCTATTGCAGCCGAGACTATTCCTATAAATTGTTTTGGCAACCTATGTCTGTGCCTTCACACATCAATCATTCACCCAATAAGGACCCTTTAATACGGGGAAGGGTTACGATAGAATTACGTCATTGAAATTTTGAGTGTTAACCACATAGTCGTATTCATTTTTAGACATCAGGAGTATCATCATTAGATGAAGGAAGGGTTCAGTGGACACTGTATTTTTCTCCCGAATGCCTATTTGCTTTAGCTTTCAAATGTTCTTAGAGGTTTGCAAAATAATTTTTCACAGCCCTAGTCCGGCCCGAGAACACATTTTTTAGTCGAACCCGATCCGAGGCCGAATAAAATTTTACAATTTGAGTTTGAATATTATAATAACCAAAAAAATTTTATGTGTATTTATTCATCGCCAACCTAAATAAAAGTTTATTTGACGGCCATAATCTAATCAAGATATATGTTAAGTTATTTTATTTAATTTGTAAAAAATATTATAAAAAAGTTAAAATACAATCGAATTTAAAAATTATTGCGATTATATTAAAAACAATAAGCATGATTTATGTCGAATATAGATGATATTATAGTTAATATAAAGACTAAAAAATATAATAATGAACATATTATAATGAAATATCAATATCATTATCAAAATTAACACAAGCGTTTAATTGTAATATATAAATAATGAGGAGTCCAGTTTATCTGGCTTTAAAAAACCTTTTCTTTTTAAAGGCCCTGCCAGCAGCTGCAAACGCTCTTTCGCTGCTGGCCGACGAAGCAGGGATAGCTAGGAATTTAAGAGCTAAAATACTTAAATTTGGAAAGTCATTAAAGTTTGTCTTCCATCAATTTAAAATATTATCATCTTCAATGTATAATTTAGCATCTAGGTATTTTTGAAGTTCGTTAACTTCAACGCTAGCATCAGAAAACACATTGTCAGCCTCTCATAGAGAGAAATCCAAAAACTATCTCAGTATTTTCATAAGAAAAACAATATTCATAATATAATTATAATAATTTTAAAAGATATATATTTATTTTATTATTTTTTAATTAATTTTATTATTAATCTAGAACCTTTATTTACTACTCTATGAGTTGAGTAGGAGCTAGATGGTGAGTTGGTATTTATTGATTTTTGCCCAATCATATCTCTGTTCATCTTCTCTGCACTAATCAATGTGTTAATATGTTGGCACAAATCTTTATAATGTTCTCGAAATAAAATTTTCATATTCCGAAATTTTGGGCACAAAGATGTCGAAATTTGGATATATCTATTTGAAATTTTTCCACAATTATTTCCCGACATCTTTACGATAGCAGGTTAAGCTGCGAGTTTATTTTTGGATGAGCTAAAAAACTCAATATTTTGTGATAACTCAATATAACTTTGGGAATGGTGGGTTTTAAATCACTCGCAATTTTAAAAGACGTCAGAAACTTGAAAAGGTCTCTTATCATTTCAAAATCTATATTTTCGAACCTAATCGACTTTTCTCTAGAACTGGGAATCTCCAATATTTCATTGAATTGATTAAAAATCGATTCAATCATCTTTAGTCTGCTATTCCATCCAGTCTCAACACACAAATGTATGATTTTCAAATGCCTTAATCATATTAGCTCCTTGGTCTGTAATGAATGGTATTTCAGATAAAAAAATACATTGATTTTTATAATTATTTTTAATGAAATCATTACCTAATAAGGTGATTTCTAATAATTTCCTTTTTAATATTTTTACCCGTCTTTTTTTCTTCTTCAAACTTGCATATAAACAATACTAATTTATTGAGTTTCCAGGAATCGTTAGAAATGAATAGTAAGAGTTACACAGGATACTTTCTTATAATCATCAGCCCAAAGGTCTGTGGTGGCTATAAAATTTTTTAAATTTTCATATATTTGTTACCAGCACATCGACCCTTTTTCATATATACGTTTATTTTCGGAATTAATTTATTGCGTATACCATCAGCAATGTCTATTAAATTTCTATAAATTATCGTGGGATTTGATGCTTTTAACATCAATATTTCCATATATTTGAGCCAATTTTGGCAAAATATTGGCAACAATCCACAAAGCCTTCCACATGAATTGTATCAAATGATCTCAAAACTCGTCCACAAAACATGGTTTAGCACCTTTGTATTTTTCATTTGGTACAACTTTTGAGTTTTTTGGGATCGTACCAAAAGGGCTATCAATTGTTAATTGAGTCTTTTTACTCTCTATTCTAAATACACATTTATGCCTTTTTAGTTGATTTGTGCCTAAAATTTACTAATAATATATATTTTGTGTATAAATATACTAAACCTGTTGTTATAAAATTATAAACATATATATATGCAAAAATTGCAACTTACATAATTAAGTTTTTCTTTATTTTCATCATATACAAATGAAAACTTTTTCCAGACCTCAGATTTGCCATTGGCATTTTCCCTTACTTCCTATTCATTGCTCTTAATCTTTTCATTAATTTTTCTTAATTTGGCCCATTGAAATAATTATTTTACTATAAAAATATGAGGCTATTTAATTAAATAGATATTAGTAAAATAATTTTATCTAACTTGGTAGAATATGATGAAAATAAAGTATGCAATAATATCGTTTGACTATGCAATGTACTAAAATATAATCACATAAAATAGTTTGGTATAGGGTTGTTATGTAAATTATAAAATAATAATTAAAAATGACATGTTATACTGATTGACATTTTTAGGATAAAATGTGATAAATAAAAAATGATATGGTTTTATAGTTGACTGAATTATAATGATTATTTAAGATATTTATTTGTCTAGTCGGGTTTCGGGTCGGACAGCTCTTACCGAGCCCGAACCAGAATTTTTTTATGTCCAAACCCGAGCCTGGCTCAGGTCAGGCTACGGACAACCCATGCTTACAACTTATTTACCGGATGCCTTTCTGCAGTAAATCAATTGAATGTTAACACTTCTTATAAATGGTTGATTTTTTTTTGTCTTGCTTAATATGATGAAGTAAATCCTCTCTAATACGATTAATTTATTTTTACATATAGGTATACTTTACATATTTTACAATTCCGACCTGGAAAAATGCCACGAATGGAAAGGACATTTCAACGAAATCTACAAAAATCAGAAAAATTAAATGACTAAAATATTTAATATTTTCATTTTTTAAAAATAATATAAAAAAATGTGAAATTATTAATTGAAATACAACTAACTGAATACAAAATAATCTTATTTAACCTTTTTTAATCCAAAAACCCTTGTATTTAAAGTTCCTATACTCTCCCCTAAACGTCCATAGCCAATATTTTTAAACGTTACTTTTAAACAATTGTTTTTTTAAGATAAAATTAGCTTTGGACATGTAGAATTATAAAAATTAAAAGATCACAAAATGTTTATAATTTGAACTTAATATGTATTTAATAAATCGTTTTCTTTTATTGTTGTTTTTTTTAAAAAAGCCGAAATTCATTGTATATTGTTTCGTATTAATATTAAACACCTACTAATTTTTTTTTGGATACATTTAATGTCTAAAAACATTCGTATGTTTTTTTACAATCATTTCAAGTGTGCTATATTTTTAAAATGATTTTAACCTACTGCTAATGATATTTAAATAAGTCTACAATATTTATGAAGTGCAAATATTTAATATTATTATGGAATCACATGTAATAATAATTTAATAATATATTTTAAACATATTTTTGAAAACTATTTGTTACATTACAAAACGAGGAATGGTGATGTTTTATTTTGTTAATCCATGTTACATTTTACATAATTATTAACCCGCCTTTACCGATTTATAGTAATATAATAAATATATTTATTTCACTCTGACTTATTGGGTAATAAATATGATCAGCACTTATATTTTGTTTATTTGGTTACCACTTGTATCCTTTGTTTTTTAAAATAAATAATAGGTTAGCAAAGCTTATGAACGATATTCCTATAATATAGGTTTAAAAGGGAATATACTTCTGGAATTTAGCTTGATAATTTAAAAAATTATAGTAAGTAATTTTTAACACATCTAAAGGTGTTTTATTTACGTGACTTGTGTTTGTTGGATAAACAGTAAACACAATTCTGGTATTTTATTGGAAATTTTTTATATACATTTAATCAGCCAAGTATATTTTATTCCTGATCATTGAGTGTATTTTTAATAATTTTTTTTTAAAGTAAAAAAATCTGATTTTTTAAATATTTTCTCGAATAAAAAGAAAAATTGGATTTTATATGACTAACGTTTTAAACGTGGGGATTTACGAATAAAATGTATATATAACATCTTAATTATATGATTATAAATATTAAAGGGGAATGCTTTCATAATTTTATACGAATACACGAAAAAAAATTTTTTTAAAATCTTTACAAACAAAAGAAATTCAAATTTACAATTTGAAAAAATAAATCTCATTATGTTGTTAAATGGCTCGTGAGTCGATTTTTTTATCCAGAAAAATATTACGCCTGAAGATTTTGCTCATATATGGCACAAAGGTTTGAACATCTATTAGCAAAATCTCGCTCGATCTTACGTTATTGGAATTTTATAGGATATATTTTGAAGGTTTTTCAAAATTATAAATGAAATATAATAGTTTTAATTATGAATATGATATAATAATCGTCATTTTTAAAGATACAACATTCATTTTAATAATAATAAGTCTATGTTTATAATGATTTGAATTAAATATTTCATATACTTATGAATTATTTTTATTTATTTAATACGTATATAAAAATATAAATTGCAAGATATAAAATTTTTCAAATAGATATAAAATAAAAATAATTAACTTTTGTTTAAAAATTCGTATATAAATGTATATGTTAGCGTCAATGTGCTATTTTCGGCATTGTACACATTGCCTAAATAACCAAGCAATGTATTCTTTTTTTACAAATTAATAAATTTATTTAATATTAATTTATAAATTTATTTTTATAATTTATAGATTTTGTTAGATATATTTTATAAATAATATTTTTAAGATTGTTAAGGTTTTTTGATCTTTTAGTATTTTTTTAAATATTGGACGGTTAAAGTTTATTTATCTTACTAGCTAATAACCCGTCAAGAATGACGGGGTTGAGGGGTAATTAGTTTGTGTATATGGTACATACAGATACAGATTCTTTGTGAAGAAATGAATCTTAGATGCAGATACTAGTATGATTTTCTAAAATAAACTATTTAAATTAATTCTTTTTTAAATCAAATTTATTATTATTTCTTTATATCTAAAAACATAGTATATATATATATAAAAAAGTTAATTTGAACATATTAAACAATCAACTTAAATAATATAAGATATTCAAATGATATAACGTTAATATATTTTAAAAATAAATAATATTCAAATAAGACTAATCAACATTTTCAAAAAGATATTTTAAATACAAGATACTTTTAAATTATCATTATCAATTAAATTATAGCTTATAAAATACAATTTTTACTATTTATTTGTGAAGAACATAACATACACATATAAGAATGAATTTACAATAATTAATAAAACACTTAATGATGAGTTAATTATAATAATCAGGCATTTTAATATTAGTATTAGCCCATTCTTAGCATAGATTAAGAAGGGAGACTAGTATTTTTAATGTGAGTTGAAATTTTAATTTGTAAAAGAGTATTTAAAATACATTCATAATAAGATAATCAAATTTTTCAAATAATTTATCATTAGACCTTTGTCGTTTCGGCGTACTTAATTGTACCAAAACTTAATAACCTTTCAATTGGAGCTGATGAAGGTATTGCAGTATTATATGTATTAAAAATTTCCATAATAGAAGGATAATAATTAAGAATTTATAATATATTTCGACTTAATATAATTTAAAATCTCCAGCCAATGTTGTTTGTATTATTGAACTCAGCACCATTTGTTTTACCAAAAGGAAAATGATAATCATTCTCTTTATTAGATGCTAATCTATTGGTTTTATAGTTTGAGCTTTATTATTTACTCTGGTTCTTCATTTAGGACTTTTTTTATTAATATATTTTGAAATTATTTATTTTATTATCCGACTCAATCCATAAGTTCTTAAAATATGGATGTGATATTGATGTCAAGAAAGCCACATTATATTCAAATCATAGGAAAATATTTTCTTAAAATCTTTTACCCATACAATCTTGGGCAGCTTTTAAAGGTAGACAATATTGTAAACTTATATTTTAGATAACCTATGCCCCTTTTAACTACACATAAATAATATAATATAATAGGTTTAACAAAATTTGTGTTTAACCCTTTATCATATTTTTGATTATACAGATTTTACATTTAGCCTGTAAATTGTCTTTTTTAACTTTTATTTAAAAAAAGTTCCATATAAAATTTTAAGATTATATGATTCAGGGGAACTTATTTCTATAATTTAAATTTCACTACCAAAAGTGTTAATCATCCTAACATTAAAAATATTATATAAAATTGGTAATGATATTCTATAGAGTTACATTTATATATAAAATATAATCTATACATATTTTGTTTTGGTGTTGTTATTTTTATCTTTCTACCTTAATATGATTTGTAAATTTTCCAGATAATTTTGGCAGTCAATATATTAAAATATGGCGGGAAAAAATCAAGAAATTAGTGGTTCGAATCTCGTTAATGTACAAAAAATTTTTTTTAAATACTTTCTTTTTTTTTGAAAAAAAAATTTAAAATTAGAGGTATATCTCCTTCGATTTATTTAACATTACGATGATAGGAAAGTTGATGGAAAAAATTAAGATTAAGATTATACGAAAACGTTCATTTCTTGATTACGGCGATTATATATATTAGATAAATATATTTTTTGAGATTTATCTTTTGAGATTATTATATCGATTAAAGTTTAAAAACAATAATGAATTTTATTTGTAATTCTTTTGTATATATAAACTTTTATATAATTATCAAATTTAACTTCTAATAATATGCAATTAACCTCGATAATATGATATTAAATGTAGGAAAGTTATAATATTGTTACAAATATAATATTCAAATTATAACCTTTTAAAAATATATTAATAACATATCTTATTTCCCACCAAGTTAAGATCTTCTATCAATCTTGTTTACCAAGTTCAAGTTCATCTATTTGTTTCTACTGTTTTATCATCTCCTAACTTTATAATGTAATTTGTTTTTAGTACGTTTTTTTTCTCCTTCTTCCCTTTTCCAGGATTGACTGCAATCCCTGGAAGATTTCTTATATTTCACTGTTTTATTTTAGCTTGTTATTCTATCATCATTTTTCTCTGGTTTTGCGATAAAGCATCTGCAATTATATTATTAGGGCCATTCTTGTACATTATATCATAATCATATGCAGAAAATTTGTCAACATAATAATCTTTGGTTTGTTAACGAGCTTAAATATCTGTTATCACCATATAAGGTTTGTGGTCCGTTCGTATTTTAAATTTTCGCCCATACAAATAGTTATGAAATTTTTCTACGCCGTTTATTATTGCTTTGGATTCTTTGAATTCTTCAAACGTTGGTAGAATGTGATAGTCTGAAATTTACGTTCCACTATCATTGGAGTACTCCAGGTTACTCTTGTTGTTGATGGATCTATTTTCTTTATTATGTTATTTTCTTCCAAACGTTTCAGTTCATTTTCAATTTCTACTTTTAAAGGCAACGGTACTCTTCTAACTGGTAGTGCAATTGGTTTTGTATTTTCTTCCAATTTTAGTTTGGTTCGACATTTTTTATTAATCCTAATTTATTATCAAATACCGTAGCGAATTCTTTATATAGTTTGTCAATATTCACGTTACCATTATCATTATTATTATATTTATTGTTGATCATATTGATTTTTACATTTGTGGCGATAGACCAAATTCTATAGTCTATGGAAGTCCAAATAGTGCTGCATCATTTGTTTTTATAACTAATAACGGAAGCCATTTTATTTTATCATCTAATTGCACTTTTATAAACTTCGCCCATAATTTTTATTGTATTGTTTCCATATGTAGTTGGAGTTCTAGCAGGAGCGTACGCAGGAATTTGGTCTGGAGGGGGGGGGGGAGATAATAAATTTTTTTAAGAAATATTATTGTTATTTAAAAATATCAAGCATACAAGCATAAATTTATTAGAACTAATAACTATTTCTAATACACAATTTTAAATTATATGAATTATAAAAAAATTATATATATAAACCGGCTCATAAAAAACTATAAAATAAATGTGAATTAAAAAAATATAAAGTGAATATAACCACCATATGAATCACTTAAATGACCTAAAATAGAAATTTGAATTTTTTAACCTTTAAAATTTATATATATAGTATAAAAAATTTAGATATTGGAAGTATAAATATTAATACACAAAAAGTTTCTTAAGAATAATTGTATTTTGTATTATATTTACAAAGTAAAATCCAATCTTCGTTGATTGAGCCAATTTTTCAATTACTCATCCTTGCTTGGCGTCAAATGCCTATAAATATTTAAAAGATCCAAACCATTCAATCCACTTTTAGAAGTTGTACTTCTTAGGTATGTTTTTCAGACTGCAGGTCCAGTTCCCCGGCCGGATCATATTTTAATTTTTTGAATATACCCGAGTCGGGCCCAAATTTTTTTAAAAAAAACATCCAAGCGAGGCCTGAAAATTTTTAAAACGGGCCCGGCTATATATTTTAAAACCAAATATTTGAAATTAGCTATAAAAATCAAAAATAAATATAATTTATTTAAAAATATCCTTGCCGGACCTGAAAATTTTATTTTAAAAAAAGCCAGGCCGGGCCGAAAAAATTTTGAAAAAAATTCCGGGCCGTGCCCTGCAAATGGTACCTCGGCATGGCTCTGTTATTTCTTAAAAAAGAGAATGTTCTTAACAAAATTAAGACTTTACTTGAAACCTAATCTTATTGTTTTACGGCTAACTCAAAATTCACACAACCTTTTTCTATAACTCAATTTATTTTTTCTACGAAGAACAAAGTAATAATTTATTATCCATAATTTATATATAAAAAAAATAAATTTTCTTCCCAAAAAAATAATAATAATCTTTTTTATAATTTTTAAAAAAAAAATCCAAAAAAAATATATAACGTGTCTTATTATTATAATTATTAACCAATCAACCTTATTTTCATCGGTTGATTGGCATTACGCATAAAAATGTATAAATATAAAAATACGACATGCCACCCCTTTATGGGATCAGGGCATGTCGGTAAACCAAAAATTAAATTTTTACATGTATCTATTTATATTTGCGAAAAAAAAATTAACGTTCATGCTTACATTAATGTTACACGAATATTCCCATCCATAGTCACCTTAGGCCGACATGGGATTGCCCCAAAAATCATCTGCGCTGGTCGTCGGTAGAACACCAGTGGCTATAGTGGCCACAGCTCTCTGCAACACATCTCCTTCTCTATGTCCGCGAGATTCCCCCAATTGCTGCGCCCCATCATTATAATTTTGTCTTTTCGGAGGACGTCTATCAGTAGGTATGGCCGGTCCTCTAAGAACGGAAGTTGTCGGCTGCCCCAAATTCATCTCATTATATATCCTCTTTTGTCCCTCATATGGCTGTACCCGCGGATTCTCCGATAACACACCCATAGGTACACGATCCCTGGGTAGTTGCGTGCATTGATGTCTAAGATGACCCTGGCCCTGACAATTATAACATTTTTTCCGTCTAATCCCATATGTCGGTGGCTGATTTTTATTCCGGCGTCCTTCTCCCAGGGTCATACCATCATGCTTCTTGATTAACGTGACCTGGAGATAAAAATCTCCAAGGTCCACGAATCGGGAGGTTATCTCCATCTCTCGAATGTGATGAAATATTTATGGATATCTGGTTCAAGGATATACGTTGACTTTTTCTTTATCTTAGTTTTCAGAAAAATAGTAGTAATGATTTAATGTAAAAAAAAAATGACTTTACAACAACAAAAATTTCAATTTAATAAAAAAAATATAATTTAAAATTAAAAAAAAACAGGTATATTCTTTTTATTTTTTTAAAAAAAAATATAATTTACAATTTTGGGGAATTAAAAAAAATAATCCAACAACTTATAACATATTCTTCCCATAAACATTAATTACATTATGGAACGTTTCTTCTCGCTGCCTGAAAAAAATATAATTTATAAAGGGAGGAAAAGATAAAAAAAATAAACACAAAAAAAAATAAACACATACTCCATATATAGTACCCTCTCGCATTATCATAATATATAATCTCCTCCTTTTAAATGATCGGCCAACCAAACCAAAACTTCTTAATTCACTTTTTTACAAATATCAAAACAAAAACTTTTTAATTCCTTTTTTTTACGAATATCTTCCCAGTACCAAGACTAATGTTCAACAGCCGCAATTTTCCTATAAAGCTATGCACAAAAATGTACGCACCAAATGAATTACAACTTTTTACCCCTTCTTCTTTTAATAATAATTACACTATATTCACGAAATGAATTACAACACTTTCTATTCCTTTTATTTTTTACACTTTTATTCATTTACAATAAATATATTACCACAATTTCAATCTTTTTTCCTTGTTTATTACCGAGAGCCGGAACATTAACCAGTTTTCTTAACATTACATATATCTACATATACTTTAATTTCTCGTAATATTATCGAGAAAACCTCCTTTTCCATTACAAACCTGATATAATTTAAACTACGAATACATAAACCAAAACTTTATTTACATTTATTTCACCCTTATGCTTTATTTTTGCATAAATATACATATGCACTATTGCTCTAAGATGAAAAACCCTCGGGTTGCAACCAACACAATTAAACTAAAAAAATAAAAAACTACTTGAAATCCCTAATTGTACATCTTTATCATACATCATTTTTTTTTAATCCTAGCTAAATTCTACTTTAACCTCCTTCCAACTACCCTCTACTTCTGACATGATCATTATGGCGCAAAACCGTGCCGCCCCTTTCCAACTGAACCACGTTCAATTTCGAACCTCTATTCTCGCTAACAATACCCCTGACCCATTTTTCCCCCTTCCCATCAAACAAGCGGGTCCATACCTTTTTCCAACACCGAATTTAATTTTCTGGCATTCCAGAACTGCCTTCCCTTTGTCCCTTATCTTTAAAAAATCCAACGGCAACTTAGTCCTCCGACCCAGGAATAATTCCGTAAGACTCATTCCCTCCTGATTTCGTGAGTTAAGATAATATAACTGAGCTAAGTACGCTCCATCCTTATAATTTACCGCTTTCCTTAACCAATTCTTAACGACGGCTACCATTCTCTCAGCCTGCCCATTCGAGCTGGGATGATAAGGCGGAGTCAAAACATGTCGAGTCTGGGTTCCCACACATAACTGTTTGAATTCATCGCTCACAAATGCTGGTCCTCCTTCAGAAACAATGGTATCTGGCAAACCAAATCGGGCATACAAATCCCGTAATTTTTTAATCACTATTCTGGTGGTATATCCTTAACCTCGGTGTATTCCACCCATTTTGAATACGAATCAACCAACAAAAAATAAGCCCTTTTATCCAGATCAAAGAAATCTACATGAAAACGCTCTCAAGGTTTCCTTGCCCGGGGCCAAACCTGACCTACCTCCTTATTGGTCATAGCTGCACACGTATTACAAGGAACGCATTTCCTTTTAATTTTTTCAATATCATCGCCCATACTTGGCCACCAAACATACTCCCTCGCCCAAGATTTCATCCTTTCCCTACCTTGATGTCCCGCATGTAATAAATTCAAAATTTTGACACGTAATCTACAAGGAATTACCGCTCTATTTGCCCTCATTACACAATCATCAACAATTGACAATTCCCTTTCAATTTTTTTAAAATCTTTACCATTATTTTCCCACGGTTTCTTCCCCGTTAAATATAATTTTATTTGACTCAGCTCTTTATCTTCTAAAGTACTGACTTTAAGTTCCTCCCAGTTGGTAGGACCTCCCCGTAGCATATGTGAAAGTGAACAAACCAATGCTTTCTCATTGTTCCGAACCTTATCCTTGTTCCCTTCATCATTTCCTTCATTTAATCCCAATCGGGATAGAATATCAGGCAAACAATTCTCTTTACCGCGACGATATCGGATATCCACATTAAAGCTGCCCACCAACAACAACCAACGTTGTAACCGGGGAGACATCATTAACTCCCGATTGTTTTTCCGAAATAAGTGAATTAACGGCTTGTGATCAGTAAAAATTACAATTTTTTTACCAATCAAATATTCACGACATTTTGTCAACCCGAAAATCACAGCCAGGGCCTCCTGTTCAATCACGGAATACCTGGTTTCCACCTCACGAAAAACACGCGAGAAAAACAATACGGGTCTCTCCAAGCCCTCTATTACCTGTAATAACGCCCCACCAACTCCTTTATTCGAAGCATCCACCGCCAAAACAATTTCCAATTCATTATCAACACACACCAAAACCGGTTCCCTTCCAATTTTTTCCTTTAAAATTTCAAAAGCAATTTGCTGTACATCCTTCCACTCAAAATGAATTCCCTTTTTCAATAAATCATATAACGGCGCCGCAACCTTTGCAAAATCTTCCACGAACCTATGGTAATAATTGACCATACCCAAAAAAGACTGCATATGTTCGATATATTCTTCAAATTTTTATCCAAAGGTTTCACCTCAATTCCATTAATCCGATGACCCAAATATTCAACCTCCATTACCCCCAGAACACTTTTCTCCTTACTAGCTCTCAAGCCTTTATCACGAATTCTCCTAAACACTTCCTCCAAACGTTGATTATGCTGCTCCGGCGTCACGCCAGTAATTAACACATCATCCATATAATAAAATACTCCTTCCAATCCTTGAAAAACTGACGCCATGGTCCGTTGAAAAATGGGAGCAGATACACTCAATCCAAATGGTAATCTACAAAACGCGAACAATCCCTTTGGAGTCGTTATCGTCAATAATTTACGGATTTCCTTTCTCAAAGGTAACTGCAAATACGCCGACGAAAAATCCACCTTGGAAAAATATTTCGCACCCTTCAACTGAGCCAAAATCTCCTCAATCCTAGGCAATGGATATTTAACCTCCACCACCCATCGATTTACCGTGACCCTGAAATCCGCACAAAGTCTTAATTTACCATTTGCCTTTTTAACCGGTGTAACGTTTTAAAAATACTCCATTTTTTTATATACTCCTTTAAGCTTATTTGTGGAGTATTTTTAGATCATATTGTTCCGTATCGTCCCGTAGTCTCGAATTATTATTAACTTTATACGTTTTGTCGCTTTACGAAAAGGTGAAAAAAGGTGAAATTGAATTTACAAGCTAAATACCATTTTTCAATAATCAACCCAGCATAATACTTTGAGTTTATATAAATAGGAAGTATAAAGGTAACCAATTTTTTTTAAACTATTAATTAAATATGACATGGAGATATTTTATGCTATTATAATTACATAATTATATTTATATAGTATATAAAGGTGCATATACTAATATCAATCAAAAGGGTCACATCCTACCCAGACCAAATCTGATATGTATTATTATGATATTTTGTTTTCTATTATAATATTAAATTTTAGTAGATCAACTTGCCCATAAATATAGACCTTTCAATACTTCATTCAGTCTATAGGAAATATTGTACATATTCTCCAATACTAATATTTTAAATATTATCTTAAATAAAATTAAGATATATCATACATTCAATAAAGTATTATTACTTTAAAAGTATTTTGTAATAATATTATACTTTGGCTATATTATTTGAAATTAAGATATAATCTTAGTTAAGGAAAATTATTACTATTTTTTTTAACAAAATATAATCCACTAATACCTGTTTCAGATGGCTATGCCTAATCACTTTAAAAAGCATACTGCTTACTTTACATACACAAATAAACCATGCCTTGGACCCTGGATTGTTAAGAACAATTTATTTACTATATCCAAAGAATGCACGAGTATATTAATTATAGATAAATTTTATATTAATATATTATAGATGCAATCTGCCTTCAAAAAAATTATTTTTCTGTATGATGCTAAAGAATTATAAAGCTATTCAAGATGATATTCCTATTCTCACCCAAGAAGCTGTTGTCAGTTAAAACAATTATGCATTAATTCCATGTAAATATAATATGATTAATACATTTACTATATCAATTATAAAGTTATTCAAGATGATATTCCTATTCACACCCAAGAAGCTGTTGTCAGTAAAAATAATTATGCATCAATTCCATGTAAAATTCTATATTAATAATAATCATTATATCAATTTAATTGCAATGATATTCAAAATTTATTTTCTTTTTAAATAGATCAATCACAATTCAATTTTCAAGATTTATTTTTTTTAAAAAAATCAATTTATAAATTAATAAAATCAAAATATAATAATGACTTTTTATATTCTAATAAGTATTTGTACATTAATGATAAATTAATATATTATAAATGCCATACAAAACATTGTAAAGGGAGGAGGATTTTAAATACTCATTTTATAATGACACAAGCATATTGATCATAATGATGAAGATATAAATAATACGCTCATCACGATCAATATGCTTAAAACAGAACTTATGTTAAATCAAAATATCAGTATTAGAAAGACATACAGAAAGGTTATGAGAGACAGAAAACTCGATCCTTTCTGTATGCAAAACCCCAAAACGTTACCTACCTTTTTATCAGTTAAATCCATTATGGGACGTGTTATTCAATTAACACGACACCCCCTTCCCCTTTCAAATGGTGATATTATATTAACCCAAGAGCACACAAAATCACATTTAAGTTTTTTTAAAACTACAATGTCTACTTTTGCCATATATTCTTTTTTCACGATTTTTCCTCCGTCATGTAATTATATTAATTGTTCAATAATTTCCATGTTGTCAATAAAATAACAGCTATTAGTCTAAGTATTTATATTCTAGTCGGGTCATACAGAAGTGGTATACGCCAATTACAATATTATGGTCGTTCTTACATTTATAGCCTAATTTTATATTGTATTTATCCACAATTTTTGTGATTTTTTATTTATTTATTAACGTTTTGTATTGCATTTATGCGCATTTTTTATCCAATTATTTTTTTCTGTATTTAACGTTATTCGTATATTTATACTAAATGATACCCTTATAAATAATGTATTATAAGATTATATATTTATTTGTGAATCCAATATTATTTAATAAAATAAATTAATATCCTTTATTGCTAATAAATGTATAACATTGCAATAAGTATTAATCCAACGATAAAAAATTTATTCAGGTATTTCCTACTAAGTTAGGTAACATATACTAATAGAATCTCAAAAAAATTAAAAGATGTGAGGAAATCTGTTGATTATATAAATAAGTATAAATCCAACGATAAAAAATTTTTTCAGGGATTTCCTACTAAGTTAGGTAACTTATATATACTAATAGAATCTCAATAAAATTAAAAGATGTGAGGAAATCTGATGATTATATAAATAAGTATAAATCCAAAGATAAAAAATTTATTCAGGGATTTCCTACTAAGTTAGGTAACTTATATATACTAATAGAATCTCAAAAAAATTAAAAGATGTGAGGAAATCTAATGATTATATAAATAAGTAAAAATCCAACGATAAAAAATTTATTTAGAGATTTCTTAGTAAGTTAAGTAATTAACATATACCAATTAATCATAAAGCAATATATTATATAAACCAATATATATTTATATATCGAAATATATTATAAATAATTATAATTAAATTTTATATATGATGTAAATATATTATATTAAATATATATTCAATTATATTCAATATATAAGTAAATTAATATATAAAATATATTATACTAACTATGTTAATAATATTAACTATTATATTAAATTTAAATATATTGATTATGTTATATTAAATACTACAAACAATCATATATTTAATTATTTTATATATCAATTAATTTAATATTAAATACATATATTAAATATTTAAATATATTATAAATATTTAAATTTTATATATGATGTAAATAAATAATTATATTCAATATATATATACTAACTATGTTAATAATATTAACTATTATATTAAATTTAATTATATTGATTACATTATATTAAATACTACAAACAATCCTATATTTAATTTTTTTATATATCAATTAATTAATAAATATTTAAATTGTATTATTTACTTTATTAAATTACAAATTTCTAATAATTCGTTACTAATTTAATATTAATTTAAATTATAAAATCTCTCTCATATGTAGTAACCGATTGAAATTTTTTGGCGGCCATATTTTAATTTTATATTTATAATTTAAAATCTCTCGCTTCAACCTTTAGGGGCCATATTGGTCGCCATTTTAGCTTATTTGTATTTTTGATACTTTTTACTCAATATAAATATAATCGAGTTTATTATATATGTAAATATGGACTGAAAAAAAAATAAGTCTAGAGGTATAAGATCCTCATCTAGTCTTCGCAAGGAATGTATTTTTATGTTTACAGTCTTTCTTCAGTGTGATAAACTAAATGTGTATTCTTTAGATATTGTCACATTTGTAAAAGATCATAAAAACCATGATCTAGGTTAGACATATTTATTTGATTTTTAACTAACATGATTTATATAATCAAAATAAAAAACTATATGAGATGCTCTCTAAACAAAGAAGGCTTTCTCCAATAAAAAAAACAAATTGTGGAGCAAGCTATCACTTTTAAAGCTAATAAGGTGAAAATACAAGAATATGTTCTTAATTCAGGTCAGATGATGACTCTGAGAGATATTCATAATATTTCAGCCAAATTAAACAAGCCATCTGATAATGTATTACTTGATGTAATAAATCAACTCAGGGAAGATAATGGAGCTGTGGTGGAAATCCTAGAAAATGATAGTGAATTGTTGGGCATTTACTTTCAAGATGCTAGCATGCTCCATTATCTTAAAAATTATCCTGAGGTGATATTCATTGATGCTACCTACAAATTAAACAATCTAGGTATGCCACTGTTTATTCTACTTGTAATAGATAGTCATGGACAATCTCAAATTGTCGCTTTATGGCTTGTAAAGGCGGAATCATATTTTTGTGTTAAAAATATGTGCATGATGCTTGGTACCAGATGAAAAAATTGTCTGCGGGAAAATGGCTGATGTTAAATTGTTTTATATATTTTCTTCAAGATACATTTAAAATATTTGCCTTTAAAATGCCATCTCCGAGAAATAATGGAATGCCATATCTTTATTTGAATGGAAAACAGGCCTATTTAATCTTTTATATTTTATAGATATCAATAAAAATCACTTTATCATCATTGGAGGAGACCTTAACATGAAATTATGTAATGAAATCACTAATTCTCTTATTGGTTTTGCTACTTTAAATAATCAACTTTTTATAAACAAAGAAACAATAAATATCACACATACTTCAAACCCTCAAACAAATATACTCCTATAATCCTTAAAAAATATAATATCTCTAATCTTAATTTACCAACCCCAGCAAATAATTTTCTACATAATTTGAATCAAATCAACAATAATGACTCATGGTTAAACATTTCAAACTCAATTATCAAAACAGCAAATACCCATCTTAATATTAATTATCAATATCTATACATAAATACAAATGTGTTATTTTAATTATTTCTGCTAGCAATATAATTATACATGAATGGGTTTAAATTTAATCGTCAATATGTGTCATTAAATCATCACAACACAAATTCTCATTAAATATTTTCTTTGTTATTTTTTATTTTTCAATATTATTTTTTAGATGTTACAAGAATTAATTATATATTTATATATTTATCAAGATGACACAATTAAATCAGGACAGAAAAAATGTTAATACTTTTAAAAATTTATTAAATAACTTTAAACAGTTCCTAGGTCAAGTGAAAAGTTTCATTCTAGTACCATAAAAGGTATACAATGGATTTTATTATTAAATAATATTCCTTTTTTTAGATGATGATGAAAATTTTCAAGAACCAGCTATTAAAAATCTAAAGCTTAATGCGGAAGAAAATCATATGAAGGGTAATATTTTCATATATTTAATATTAAATCCTTTTTGAAAATATCTAGTTATGAATATACTAAATTCGATAGTTGGAGAGGATTATAATTGTATAAACAAAAAAGGTATAATAAAAAAAATCTAATATACATATTTTTTTAGATGATGGAGTTAAGACACCAGAAAAAGCATCGAAAATGCTAGAGCCTAATGACATTCGACCTTTTGGTAACATTTTTAAGATTTGATAAAATCAATTTTTTAATCTAATAGGTGCCCCGCCGGAGAGGACGGGCATGGCTCAAAATGCCGTTTATGGTACAGAGGTGGAGATAGTTGCAATGACAACTATGCTCCAGACAAATATTTTAATACATACTATTTATAAATGGGCATACTATATGCCCATTAAAAAATTAAGTAATATTAAAAAATTTAATGTAAATATTTATTTAATAAATCATAGCGAACATATTGATCGCATAATTAATTTTAATTAATATTTATATCGCATATAGCATATATTATTTATATAGCATATATTATTTATATCGCATATATTATTAATTGATTTTTTTATCTTTATATTTACAAATTAAATAAAGGATTTTAATAAATTATTCTGAAAATTGTTTCTAACTTTGAGTAGTAACGTGATAATAGATAGTGCAAGATATATATGTTAATCTTTGATATTTTCGAATTAAACCTTAAATAAATATATAAATTTTTAACACTTAATATTAAATCTAATAATTTCTAAAGAGAATAAGGCAAAATTGCCTTAAATATCATAGGACATAGAAAAAATAATATTTATTATTCATACGTCAGTTATAAATGCCAATTCACTAAATTTATTATATTTAATATTTATATGTCAGTCATAAACGTCAATATCACTAAAAATGTAATATTTAATATATGCACGTCAGTCATAAACGTCAATATCACTAAATATTGGAGTATATAAAAAAATGGAGTATTTTTAAAACATTACACCGGCACTAGCCCATTCGCTATATCCCACAGGAATAATAATGCCGTCCTTCACCCATCTATCTAATTCCTCATCGATCTCCTTCCTCCATTCGAAAGGAACTTGCCGACAAGCCTAAATGATCGGTGAAAAACCCTCCCTCAGTTGAACATCAACTTGGTAATCATTTAAACAACCTAATTTTTCATCAAAAATAATGCCATACTGCCTCACTAGAATAGGAATAGCTTGATTAACCTTATTCCAATCCTCTTTTCCCCCGGCCACAATTTGCTTCTCATTTCCCTCATCATTAAAATCCAACTTACTCGATTTCTCCATCATCTCCTCCGAAATTTCACAAATTTTACTATCGGTATTATCCAAATTTCCATCCTCTCCGACATCCATTATTACATTATCACTAAAATTAAAAATATTCCAATAATTATTGGGAGGACCAAGCTTGGTAATCCAATCCCACCCCATGACAGTCTCAACATTTTCCTTTACTACCCATAAATCAAGGAAAAATATAGTATTATTAAGATTAACCCCCACTCTGGCCTTTCCCAACACAGCGACTTCCGACCCATCAAACTGCCTGACACACATAGCCTCTTTTTCCAGTTTACCCCCAGGCCAATACTTATAAAAATTCTCCTGCGACATTAGAGAAATACTAGCCCCGGTGTCAAATAGCATTATTATATTCCTATGGTCAATCTTCAAACTAACCCTCGGACACAAACATGGTCCATCTAATCTTTCCGTCATTAAAATATCATATGTTTTAATCGGAGAATCAGCGTTTATTTTATCTAAAATAATAATTTCATTGGCATTCTCATTGCCCCTTAAATTCAACTCGGAATTTAAATTTTTATTACTGACAATTACATTTCTTTTAACAAGATTTGTGAGACATCTTTCCCAAATAAAATTCTTAACATCCCTTCTAAGAGAATAACGGACAATATTCCTCGGATATTGTTCCCACCTAAATCGACTAATCTCCCTCTCAGGGAAATTACGAGAATGATTTCTTATTTTAATTCTATCATTTCCCTCATTTCGACTAATATTATTAAATATTTTATTATACAAATTTTTCCGAACTCTCGGAGCCCCGACTCCTATATGATTCACTCTGCAATCATATAGTCAACACGAATTTTGAGATACTTCCATGCAGTCCATAGCTACATGTCCCGGCCTTTTACATTTAAAACATAATCGGGCCCTATTTAAACTAACCATTTTTACATTAGCATTTCCCATTTCAGGTCTCTTTAACGGAAATCCATCTTTAAACCTTTGCTCTGGGACCACGCAGGTATCCCTTTTATGTCCTCGCCATCCGCAACGATGGCAAATGATCATTTCCACAAATCTTTTATTTTCCGACAATCCTTTATTTTCCTCGTAATCATTAAATTTCTTATTCATATTTCTATCACCCACCTGGCTCTTAACCAAACTTTTGCTCTCCTTTATCAACGCATTGATGGCTTCTTTCATTTCTTTCATTTCCAGGAGGATCCTATCTGACCTCTCCCCAACATTTCCAGCCTTGATTTCCTCTAAAACATCTTTTAGATTACTTTCCAAGTCTGCTATTTTCTTCCCATAAATATCCGATATTAAATTAAAATACGTTTCTGCCATTTTCTTTTTATAAACATCTAACACCGCAGTGTCCTTCTTCCAATTGCAATACATGCCAGCCAGTACCGCAGTACCCTTTTTATCAAATATTTCACCAAAATGATCAATATATAAATTATTACCAATATTTCAATTACCATGCCCTGCTTAATTAAATCCAACTCATCAAACTTTTTACAAAACTTTAAGACCCAAATTCTTATATAGTGAAATCTTAGCAGCCACACTATAATCATCATGATACCTAAAAAAATGAACCATTTGGTCATGAATCGTCTAATCAATACTAATATTCAATTACAAAAACTTTAAATATTTGTAGAAAATATTAATACAGCACTTTAAATAAAAACATCACTAGCAAAATCGTATAATGGTTAGTACAAATGATGCGCAGTCAAAAATTCTAAGAAAATTATATAATTAAAAATTTTTTGTTTTACTTTCTAAACCGAATAACTAGGAAACTATCAGCATCACAAGGCACCACTAACAAAATTAAGACTTTACTTGAAACCTAATCTTATTGTTTTACGGCTAACTCAAAATTCACACAACCTTTTTCTATAACTCAATTTATTTTTTCTACGAAGAACAAAGTAATAATTTATTATCCATAATTTATATATAAAAAAAAAAAAATTTTCTTCCCAAAAAAAAAATAATCTTTTTTTTAAAAATATATCACGTGTCTTATTGGCATTACGCATAAAAATGTATAAATTTGTATAAAAATACGACAGTTCTCTCGTTAGTTTGCTAATGGGAAGAGTTGCTAATATATATATATAATCATTTTAATCCATTGGGAATATAATCTAAAATGTGTTTCAAAACATCCATAGCATTTTTTGGGCCTATATCTTAGTTAATCTTTTAAATATAGTTATTCAGCTAATAAGGCAACAAACAAATATTATTTTTTTCTATCACAATCTGAAAAAGATTGGGAAGGCTTTTGTGGAAGTCGAAGTTCATAGAACTATTCGTCCTCTAGTCGACTCCAATTAACGACTCAAGTTCATAGAACTATTTGTCCTCTAGTTGACTCAATTATAAAATTCTTATTCACCACTCAAGTTAGAAGTCTAAAGTAAAAAAATGTAAAAAACAGAACAAATATCTTAATTAATAATATCTGAAATATTGGTCCTCTAGTCGACTCAATTTGACGATTAGAGGACGAATATTTTATGAACTTGTGTTCACGACTCGAGTCGACTTGAGTTTACCCAAGTTCATAACTCAAGTCAGTTTGGGTCAATTTTTTTGACCCAAAACTTGGCTCAGTTTTCGACTAAGTCGACTCGACACAGTCTATTAACAATACTAGTGGAAGTAATATCTGTAGATTGGTAAGTGCTGCATGATGAATTAAAAATCATTCATTTATTTGGATTATAGTTTTATAATCCTTTTCTACTGATCTTATACTAATGTTTTGACGATGAGCTTGCCTTGCTGCAAGTCGAGGGAGACAAACATTAAACACGTATAGCTCTCCTTTTGACTCAACAATAACATATAAAACTTAAATTCTTTATCAACATTAGCCCTAATTTCTATGAGTTCTAATAAAATGCTCTCCGCTATTCTCATTTTCTTAATCAAGTCAATGCCATGTTTTTGAAAAGTATTACATAAAATAGTAGTATAATTAAATAATACATTCTAATGAGAAAAAAGAATTTGAAATAAGTATGGAATCCAATAATTTTCTTGCTTCCGAGGAAATATTTCCTTCAGGCCATTGTGATATTTCAGTAATAGCATTAATAATCGGCGCTTCTAACTCTATAAAAGCTGTTACTGCTTGATGGCGGAGACTCCATCTCGTTGGGCAAGCTTGCACTTTCTTTCTCCTTGTTGGACAAGGAGTTTCAGAAAAATTATTATTTGATTAGAAATATGAAAATAGTAGATAAATATTACGCCACTAGAAATTTGAAAATAATAGGTAAATATTACGCTAATGAAAACTTGAAATCGAAATTAATTGATAAAATAACTTAATAGATGAATGTGATAAATAAATGTAACTAAATATATTAATATGGTTAGGAATAAATATTAAAAAATATAAATTAATATAAACATATATATTTTTGAAAAATATATCTGGCATCTGCATTTTTTGGCTTGGGGGGGGGGGGGGGAATTTGTCCCCCTGCCCCACCCCCCGCTGCGTACGCGCCTGAGCTCTAGCCATTCTAAGTTTTGGCCTCCCAATTTTATTCCATATTGTTACATTAATGATGTTTACTGCTGAACCTGTATCATATTCCATTTTAATTTCGTGATTGTTTATTAATACCGTAATTGTTGGGTGCTGTCCATATTCTCATTGAGAAATCTGAATCGTCGTCGTTACTATTGTAATTTGTACCGTAAACTTTTCCTCTAGTTTTACAACACACGGCAAAGTGGTTTGGTCTCTTACATTTGTTGCACGTTTTCCATATGCTGGACAATTAATTTCATGAAAACGATTACAAAAAAGCACGGTTTTCTTGTTTTTATTTGTGTGATAGTTATTATAACCATTATCATATTGATATTGTCGATTATCATTATCATTATACTGCCGATTATTATTATCATTTTGATTTAATCGTTTATTATTATCATTATTTTTGGTCGTCTCTTTATAGCATTAAAGTTTTGAAAAATTTAAAAACACCATGAATTTTCGGGCGTGAATCAAGATATTGTCTTTCGTGAGCGGGCGGGTCGGGTCGAAAATTTTTTAGTGCTAGGCATGAATATCATTGCCACATTTATTTTTTTACATTTAATTTATATTAAAACCATTTTTTCGAGTATTTATTTAAAGCATAAAAGTAATACATATTAAATATCTCCAAAAAATAAAATTTTCTGGTGGCAGCCAGGCGGCAAAAAAATATAATTTAATTGTTTAAAAAAAA